GAGGAAAAAATAAGTTATCTTTGGTTGGAAGAACCACACGAGGAGATTCGAAATTGACAAATAATTTTGAAAATCAATAACTGAAGAACCGGAGTTGAAGGCTAGGTAAATTAGAATCATTCACTCGTTTTGATGTAAAATAAAAATAGAAAAAGTGGAAATATCTGTCCTATGGTTCCTCGAAGAATGATCGTAGTCGAGTTAATTCCGACCGGATGAAAAGATCCATATTGTGACATGTGTCAACGTCAATTATGCCATCGATCAATTCTCCGTCTCACTCGCCGGTGCCTATCTCTCAGACGAAGACCAGTGTTTACGTCACTCACATACACATGCACACACGCGGGCGCTCGCCCGCTGGCACACGCACNATGTGACGCATGATCCATTCAGTAAAGCTACGTGCTCTGGATTATCCTTGTTCTGTGCCTTGTCCTCCGGGCTAATTACGGGTTAGCTTGATTGAGACTGTAACACATAATTATAAACAATTTTCTTGTGATCATTTTGGCCACAGGCAAAGTGAACATAAAAAGCATGTAGGCAACTGACTGCATTTTCTATGTCGATTGTGAAAAGTTCAGTAGCCTCGGTGGGATTCGAACCCACGCATGGACACCGAGGCTACTGAACTTTTCACAATCGACATAGAAACTTCAAATCTGCCAAACAACTATTTGACTGCATTTTCCCGAATTCAAACATTGTGCAATCAGTCGTGTAGTATGAAATTGTCCAGTTGGCGTGTACTCCCGCTGATTGATAGGTAACATCATAGACTGCAGATTTGGTCCGCATTCTCAACCTTTGTATTTAACGAGATTGTATGAAACAGGCACACAAATGATCGAAACGGTTTTGTCATCATGGATATTGTTCACAAATATTTCAAATGTTGTTGTAATGTTCATTACTTTGTAGTATTAACTTCTGTTTTAAACCTGGATGATTAATTCTCAAAATAAACAAAACTTCTGTTCGTCCTCCACCCAGGAACCATAACCAAATTTCGGAGTTTGTGTTTCAAATTGAAAAATTTGTTTTCGAAGCCAATTACAGAACTGAACCGGAGTAACGTTATTAAAAAAAAAAGGATCAGGCTTTAAACGCGAATGCATTAGACACTCTCATGAAGTCCTCGGTTGGATATGACAGACGTTTTGTAATTGCTTACATATTTTTTCCGGTTGCAATGTTGCACATATACCAATTTTTCTGATCATCCAGGTAATTTCAAGTCAAATACCACATGTTGAAGCATTTATTTCTACTTCCCCGGAAGTAGACCTGACGCTCCAAGATTCCATTTCAGAGGTGATCCTATTCACCGTGAAGACCAATTGCCATATTTCACAGTTTGAACTGCCGAGATTTCTCGCCAAACACCGAGGAAATGACAGCTCTGAATCAATAGATAACGAGGGTGTTACTACATGAACAAGGAATCCTGTAAGTGACAAATCTTTAGTTGAAAAAAGCCTACCCAAGTATATTAGCCAGGGCACGAGTCAACTACGCGTCTCATATTTTCTTATTTACTTGCCCCGGGATTTTCAACCTCAGATCTCACAGACTGAACAACTCACAAGAAAGACAGTACGGACTGGGATTCACCCCATTCTGCTAACATATACTGATACGAAACTCTTCACCATACTTTCACTATTTTGGCATGTAAACATCCATAATAATTATAGTAATACTAATAACAGTAATTGTCATTTCGCGATCTTCTTTCTTCCTTTTCATTCATTTTCTATGTAAATAAGCTGCTAGTTTTCAGAAGTGGGGACAACCGATTAAAGACTGCCTGGTAATCTACATAAATAGAGACGATAGTTGACAGTGATTTATCAGTATAATAATTTTGTATGGGTTTAACGCTGGTTCCAATACCTCGTTATGTTCATCATTCTCGCACTGCGTTCAGATTGGATTATACGTGATGGTATACTTTAACCAGACATTGTTCCAGAAGAAAAGCTTCCCGTTGCTTGAAGTAACGCGAAATGAACCCGAGATGGTCTGGCGATCTGCCATTGACTGGCAGATTCGAAACAGTTGAGTTCATCAGAACTTGGCCTTGAGTTATGACTCTTTAACATAAGGCTGAACACACCATGTTCCAGCCAATGTTGATTGCGATTCAGTCCGTAGGGGTCGTCATATTTGTATTGCAATGATCATGATTATTAACGTACATGTTAGTTGGGGAGGTTGTTTGTTTGTATCTCACCGAAATCACTCTGTCCTGCATATTTTCTCATATGGTTTTTGATTGATCGCACCCCTCTCCGTGAAAAACAGCTGTATCGTTACGTAACATCATATAGAAATGCAGTAAAAGTTATTCGGTGGAAACAAAGTAAGCACATTTGTCAGCTCCATGATTTCTCCGGATCCGGGATAGCATGTGATTTCGTTTTAATCCTTATCTGTCCATCTGTAATTAAAACGTTTATCACCCAAGTGCTTTGGTTCCGACACATTTAAGTATGATCATAGGCGAACAGAAGTAAAACATTGTATGCAGTAAGTAGAAAGATATTTTCAATCCCCACACAACTGATTCTGTTTGTTCCGCTCCTGTAATCCATTACTTACCCATGGTTAGTTTGGTGCCGGGCATACAAGTGATGAGTCAAGTCAAGTCAAGTAAAGCTTTATGCACCCGACAGTGATGGCGAGTGAATCGCCAACAGTTTGACGAAGCAGCTGCATCCCAGCGACTAATTTTCAAGTGGTTTACCAATTGTAAATGCAACACACTAGACAATACATCGCACTGTTAGATACGTCACTAATTATGGGTAACAGTTAGCCACGGTAAATTCGTTTCTATGATTTGATTGGTTTAAATAGCTTACGGACTGAGGGTGACTAAACGGCAGATACAATCGGTCCTGATCAATCACGGATCATGGACGGGTGAGAGACTGAACCAAGAACTTTAAGGCGTAGAGCCCAGGTAGCAAAGCGTAGCGCATCGATCGGCTACAAAGTTACTTGTGAGCTACATCAGCTACGTTTGTTACTAAACAGTAATTAAGCTTTAAAAAGCATTTATCATAACATTTTTCGGTTTAAAGATAATTAATTAAAACTAATTAATTAATTAAAGATAATCAATTTCACCAAATAACTTTCGTTCTTTGTGTCTTGATTCCGTATAAGATGCATTCTAATCAGTGCGCAAAATGTGCTGAAGTCTACGGCGAGATGGTAAGTTCATGCGAAAATATGGGATTAATAGGGAATTAGAGACGGAACCAACCGGTATGTTCTGCAATGTAGATTATTATACCCGGCTATTTGCGAGCTATTAGCAGACTAATGGGCTAAAAATGCGCTACAATATTGGTGCCGTAGTTCATTTTTAGCTCAAATTCAGTCGGCTATTGACGAGCTATTAGCGGACGACGTGCTAGCTGGGAGGTTAGAAGTTCCAATTGCCTCGCCTATTGCCGGATTGCTCAAGCGAACACCTCTGAAAGTGACCTCCGGAAGTGCTTCATGTCTCGGTATCGACTAAGTGCGCTAGGATAGTGTTTTTTATTGATCCGGTCTGTCAAAGTCTAGACCGGAGTGGTTGATGCTCTTTGGTCAGAGCAAGTTCTTGTCGTGCCGTTTGAGCTACATAAGATGTATCGCGAATGCGTCTGCAAGAGTATGTACGACCATTGATGAGATTGGCATCGATAGTGTATACTTTTTTGAACAGCTTGAAACAGGTAGCAAAATTCGGCATTGTTGACAGTGTTACCAAAATGCTTGGCTCAGTCACTTCGACTTTTATTACCCGTGATTGATCAGGACCGATTGGAACCCACATCCAGTCATCCTCAATCCGTAAGCTAGCTAAACCAGTTAAATGATAAAACAAGATTTACAGTGATAAACTATTACCCATTATTGATGTTGTTTCTGATCTTGCGGTCTGTCCTCCATTGTTTCCATTGTAACTTGTGAACGGCTTGAGAATGCGTAGCAAGGGAAAACAGTTGATTTTTCAAATTGTGATGGTTTTAACATTTAGCATGTTCTTGATTTTGCTAATGCAAATTCCTCTGTGCGTGTCTCACCGATCGGGAGTTTAGCAACTCGGTAAAATCCCGATAAAATTCGTAAGGAATGGGCGACAAAAGCGGTAAGTCATCCATGTAGTCATAAGTTGTGAACTCTCAATTAAATTACAATTAGGTGTTTCAACTCCCAGCCCAAACAGTAGCGATTCGAATCCCGTCTGGAAAATGCACGAGTCTCAACAAAGACAGGACTGTGCAGTGATCTTTATCAACCGTCACCAACACCGTTTTGTGATATACCTTAGCGTTTACGTGAGTGGTCTAATTTGAAAAGGCTACAATGTCCAGTTTAATCTTTTGTTTCAGCTGGTGCACCATCCAAACACTTAGCTAGCATAGGTATGCAAATTCGAAACCAGCCGAGTTCACTGATTTGGATTTTTACAACCAGGTTAGCAAACATATTCCAGCAGAGACTCAATCGTCATTATTCATGTCAAACAATAGTTTACTTTGGAGGGTGAGAGACTACTCATTCGTGTAAGGTAATCTTTTTCGAGCTTTGTCATTCTTGCATATGACAGTTTTTTTCACTTCTGTTTATCTCGTTGTAATGTTATACACGTTTTGTGACCGAAATGTAGGCATAGTTGCTTGCACAAATCATTACAATACAATGATACAGTCACTGGTTAGAAAAAAGTTCCTAGTTCATTACGAATTTTTTGCATCACATTAAGATGAATCGCATACTTGAGTTGCATACCACTGATCTATTTTAGTACCGGTCAGACGGCAATGGTTAAGTGAAGTGAATAGGTGAGCTTAAACAATTATTATTTCAGAAATCGCCAGTTTTCTTACTCATCGTTAATGTGGTATCATAAAAAGAACGGTGTATTGGTTGATTGAGCAATTACCTGTTTAATGAAACCTCATTGAACTGTTATCACATACTTTTTCTTATCTTAGGTGCTCATCGCGGAGAACACACCGGAATCCAATTCCACGCCCCTAATTGGTACATTTCTGACAATGGTGATGACCCTAAATTCATTGTCCTTGATCGCTGCCACATGGGTGCTGTATTTACATGTACAGAGCAAACAAAATCCCTGTCCCGCACCGCCGACCACACTGTGGATAATCACCTCGCGAGTTCTCGGCAAACTTACTCGCACACCTTATAGTCGGGAACAGGAAAAACTCTATCTGGAGCTATATTCAAAAATGTCGGCATCCAACGGGGTCGAGGGGAAGAAGATGAAAAACGATATAAATGAACGAAGTGAACAGGAATCATCGATCATTCAGATGGTACATTGGTTGCACATTGCCACTGTGGCTGATCGATTGTTATTTCAAATTTATCTGGGTGCTACACTTGTTTGTGTGTTCATATTTCTCATCTATGCACCTATCTCTTACGATGTGAAAATATGATCGCAAAAAGTGTAATTTGCACAAATTTTCCTCCCCCTTCTTCCGATGTAAAAGAATACGATATTTAACAGAAATTCGATTTGTATTTTCTGTAATTAGCTATAAAGTAACGATCATTATTTAGAGTAATGAGGAATACATTCTGAGCTTTTAATGGTATTTGACATGAATCTCAATAATGTCAAATAAACACAATCGATACACAGACAACTACTATGATCAAAATAAGCTGTCTGAATGCGACATCTTCAGGTACACTGTCCATCATCTGAACTTCAGTTGATAATGGAAGGAGACATTTAAGCATTTAGTTAAGAATGTTTCGAAGTGAAAATTCGTCGTATTTGTGGCAAATGAAGCGTTAACTGAAAAGCTAGGAAGCACTGGACAGCTGTTTCAGCAGTGCTATTATAGGTGCGGTAGTGCGGCTGTCGCAAACGAATCGTGCAAAAGGCGGGAAGAGGTACCTCATGAAATGTAAGAATAAACCCGCCGTGCCAGAGGAGGAGATAAGGAAGCTTGCGAAAGTGCGCCGAAAGTAAAAGCAAACACGCAATAACCAAAGAAGTGGCCTTGGTGCGGTGAAACAATGAGATGCGAACGAGGAATGTTACAAACAGAGGGAAAAGTATTTGGCGTCACCACGCTAATTCCGGATCATGAATTCACGAGATGCGTTTTTTAGACTGGCCGGGTCTGCTTTCTAGTGGACACCGGTTAAAGACTTTGTGGGCTGGTTGTCGACAAATAAGAAGAACATAAGAGAGAAAGATGTCAAGAAATGTAGACAACGGTTTAAACGTGAACACCCGGAGAGCTAAATGGACGGAAGCCAGCGCGTGTGCAAGCGTGTGAAGTATAAAAGCTGACTGACCTGGGAAGCTCAACCATGAGGTGACAATTAACACAAGCTCATCTTCTGCCGCAGGTACACACATACAAGAGAGAACACAGTCGGAACTAGCAATAAGTATACTTACGAAAAATTAAGTAGCCCCGGTGGGACTCAAACCCACGGATGGACGACGCCTACATTTTTGTACAGCGCACGCTCTACCAGCTGAGCTACGAGGCCTCTTAGCTTGTTGGCTCTTGCTGGACATCTTATTTGGTTTGAAATCGCTAGAGTGCTTTTGGCCACATATTTGAGGTTTGCTTTGTTGTGCATTTTATGATCATTTTCTTTATCTAGTACCGCAGAAAACTTTGGACCAATCGTGTTTTGTTTTGGGATTCGTAGCGACTTTGGCCACGCGTTACTCAATTGCTACTTGGTTGACGTACAGTACACCAGTAGGAATCAAACGGGAAAACTATTTCTAAGATGTTCAGATGAGACAACAAGGAAAATGGAACCCAACAGAAATTAACCCGGCACGTCTCTCGGGAGGGGCTGCGGGTCATATTCATTCATGGCCTGCTAGTCGTGGTGATTGCGTATAAACCAAGAACATTCTTGTTTCATTACATGATCGATTGCTTTGTACAATTTCGGGGCGTAATACAAAAAATCTGACTTCGAATATTCTGGAGTTCTATTCCATACTGCGTACTAGTTCGGTTGGAGCTTAATTGCGCGGATTATTGCGTTTCAATTCCTGATACCAAATACAGATTATCACATTTGGCGTCTCGGCCGGTTTTTATCTCATTATGGACACCTGCAACTTGGAAATTCTCGATATTCATTCGAACTCGCGTTATGTAGAAGATTATTTGTAGCGTTTTGAGATTTGGTGTCTCACCCGAAAAGTCTGGACGCCGAGAAGAAGACAGCACATTTTCTGTCAGCTGCTGGGAAGGAAGCTTATGCGCTGATTAAAAATTTGGCATTCCCAGAGTCACCAATACAACTGAAGTATGAAGAACTCAAGGATCTGTTACCAAAACACTTCCAGCCAGTCAACTTTGAAGCAACTGAGCGAGCAAAATTCCATTGCCTTGCTCGTGATTCTAATCAGTCTGTCCGAGACTTCATTCTTCAGTTGCAGACTCAGGCTGCAAGCTGTAATTTCAAAGATCAGCTTCAAACTCAGCTCCGTGATAGACTTATTGCTGGAATTAACTGTTCTGAGCTACAGCAGCAGTCATTGTTGATTCCAAACTGTACATTTCAAACCGCAAAGGTGGTCTGTGAACAATATCAGGATGTACGTGCGGCCGTACGTGAGGAGCCGAAAGTATTGTTCAGTCACAATCGTGGGTCAGCGCTTGAAGCTCAACAGACGCGGCAGTTCAAAAGTGTCAACAAAGCTGTTAATTACAGTCCGACGTCCACACAATCTGCAAATAATAACATCGGCCACTGGAACCCTTGCAAATCATGCGGTAGGCGACACTCTCGACTGACTTGTCAATTTCGCAATGCCAAGTGCCACAAGTGTGGTTAGTCTGGGCACCTCCAGTCTGTTTGTCGAAGCACACAAAACTGTTTGACACAGAACTTAGTCCCTGATTCATGCCTTTTGCGGTTCAATTCCTGATACCAAATACAGATCAACACATAGTTCTGTCATTCTTGGTTTATGTAATGATTCACATACTGAGTATATTCATATGTTTAGATTGCGGTTTTCTGAATTAGAGCATGAGTTGAGATTAGCTGGAGAATAGATAGAACAGGTAACACGTGGAACGACCATTCATCACAGTGCAACAACTCTTCGAGCTGGGATTCTTCATGATAGATGCTCTCCAAAGAAAGAATCTGCCACGAAACAACGAACATACGCCCACGTTAATGTTGACTTGCCAAGAGTCGAAATGACACAATTCGACGGAAACCCCGAGTAGCATTGACATTTAAGCGTCAATACGAAAACTATGCCACTTTACAAGCACGGTCGATGTCACCTCGGTTGGTGACGAAACGTTTGNGGCGAAATAGAACTTCGTCGAATGCAAGGCCACCAATGCGGGGAAAAGCTTCCTCTTCTTACTGCACTATTATCGTGGGAGAGCCAAGGAAGCAATAAAAGGATATCCATTGCTCGACTCGGAAAAGGGGTTACCAAAGTGCAAGGAATATACTGAAAGAGATGTTTGATCAGCCATTCAGGGTAGCACTCAACATAATTGACGGCGTGCCTCCAGAAGCGAAACGCACATGGGGCGACAACAGATCTCAGTCAAATTTGCTCATCGAAATGCAGACGTGTAGCATTGCCCTCAACCACCTCGAGTATCCGTTGGACTTGAACGCAAAACATACACATATAGTGATTTACAGATGCTTGCTATTGCTCTCTCTATTTTTATGCTGAAATAGACCTTTTGCTATATTAATTCA